CTAGTATGTGGCGATCATGTTCTGGCAACTGAGGAGTCAGAGTCCCTTCTCATGGAACGGACAGCCTATTTGAGGAAGAGACAACACGTACATCAGGGTTCGTCTTGCGTGGTGCATGAATTTCAGTTTAGATCAATAGCATGAATCCCCCAACACGCAGTTCAGAATTCACTTACCACAGGAAAGTTACTTTGCACAATTGCATCAAGTATAACTGTTTTGCTGACTCTACGTCAGCCCACAGATCACTGTGTACTAACAGATGCTCGTCGTGGTCTGTAACCAATCACGTCCATACTTTGAAAGCCTGTAGTAATTGATCACTGTGACTCTTGTTACTCAGCTTTGGCCCAGACAGCAGCGTATGTGGGCGTGTTGCCCACTGTCTCCCAGTGATCAATCCATATGAATTTACAAAAATGACTCATTGTAAAAGGGAACTGACGACGAAGACGAGAGTGCAATGGAGACGCAAAAAGTGGTGATGCTGGAAGTGACATTCCAACTGAATGTAAGTGGATTAGAGAAGAAATCTCTGACCCTGGGAATGGTACACGCAGACTGTTAGAAAGATTCTAGATACGCATCCAGGGGAACTTGGTGAAGGCAAACCTACCATGTAAATGAGGGAAATGGTGGTGAGGAAAAGGGTGAAAATGTCCCAGAGGAAGTCACAGCAGCAAATACTTCAAACTAAAGGAAGTTTTGCAAAGATTGCACGATGTTGAACGTACAGAGCATAAAATGTTGGAAACTGATGCAAATATAGCAAGACGTCTGATAATTCACCAAGGCATAAAGAAGATGCTCTTATACTGTAGATTAGACAAGAAGGAGAAAGGAAGCCCTGTTCAAACGTTCGGATAAGTTTTTTTGTGCTTGTATGTTTACTAATTTTCTTTTTTAGTGATGGTTTTAGTATGATCTATTTTCATTATCTAAAAATTATGAATAGAGATAAATAAAAATAAATTGAAAATGGTTGAAAATACTTCTGATAAGCTTTTATAAAGAAATAAATTGCTTTAATTCTCAAGGTGTCGAATGTGTTGAACTACATATGATTAGTTTTTCTCCTTTTGTCTGTGTATTTAAATCTTAAAGGAGGGGAGATTCTAAATTTTGAAAAAAGTGTCTCACATCAGAATCATTATTTATACCACTGATTACTGAGATCACTTTTTATGACGCAGTGTATGCAGTAATTTCTATAGTCCTCTTCTGTGCGAAGCAAGAACTGCCTATGTTCTGTTATGTCAGATGGTAGTAAGTGCTCAAGAAGCAAATTAATCAGGTTAAGAGGACATGGAATGCCAGGGTGAAAGAGGAATTGGTATTTCATACTGGGCCATCTATGGAAGGTACCTTTGATGAAGTGACACGAGCAGAGACTGGTAAGAAGTAGCAGAGTGAGGCAGGCAGGTATGCTGGGGGAGGAAGCAGAGGAGTGGTAGGATTTGACTAACTTTCCCAAAGAATCACTGAGCCTGAAACAAGGAAGCCAGTCAGAGACCACAGCAGTAGTGCAGGAGGAGTTGGTGGCTGGGACCCGGGAGTCGTGGTCAGGGTGAGAATGTGCCGATTATGCATACAACTGAGTGGTGTGCTGGAGAAGGCTTGGGCTGGCTCATGAGAACCCACTGTTACCTTTGCAGGAATCCTACAAGCTGCTTGTTGAAGTGATGGTAACTTGAAATTGGCCACATTGAGAGTATTTACAGCGAGAAAGTGGTAAGTCCTACAAATCAGGCTTTCATTTTCTTTTTCCTTCTGGAGAGTCAAATGTTAAAGATTTCTCATCTCACCTCTGGACATCAGCATTTTGAAGGAATAACTGAATACGGGATACAAGAGAAGGAGAAAGCAAGGATGACTCTGAGGCTTCTGGACACAGTCTGTTTACTGTGAGAGAAGGGTCGGGAAGGACGCAGGAGGATGGAAGTTCTGGTTCCATCCCAGAGACAGGAGGCAACACGACCTTCAGGGTTTGAGGGGTAGGACGTTTAGGCAACGAGGAAAGAGAATAACTGTTCTTCTTAAAACCATGATGGCGAATCATTTGTACTCTAGAGGTGAAAGGACCTCAAATGGTGGAGAGTCCAGGTTGGGGAGGTCCTTCCTGCTCAGAGTGATGTATGAAGATGCAGCTCTGGGGGCCTCGAGGACTGTGAGAAGATCTTAGGAGAGTGGGGGCAGGCAAGTCTCCGTGGAGGAGAGCCATTTGGAGCAGAGTCGTTGAAGCTCCCAGCTGGCTCTTCTCTTAGGCTGGGCCCCGCAGGGAGGGAAGCAGGCAGCAGAGACTGAGGGTGGTACCCTGCAAAGGAGGAAGGAAGGAACTGTGGGAATCGTGTTCATATTTAATGATCTGATCATCGTTCAAGAAATGTTGACTGCATGCCTCCCATGTGCCCATGCTGTTCTCGTGGGATACCTGTCTGAGAGGCTGGGCAGCCCCTGAGAGAGGTCTCTGCCCCCTTAGCCCCCTCCCCAGGCCCTGATGCCCCTTCCCCAGCCCTTCTCTGTCACATGGAGGGTCAGAGCAGGAGCAGCCCTCAGAGCAGCAGATCCAGGGCTTCTCCCCATTACCCTAAAACGGGGATTCCTTTTGCCCCCACGGAGCACCAGGGTTCAAGGATCTAGAAATGGTCTCCAAGGGAACCACCCTCTCAGCTGCTCCTTATTCAGCAGCCTCTGTCCACATGACTGCCAGGAGACACCCTTTGAAAACCGCCGATCCAGCCCACCTCCTACAGGACCCCACACGCCTCCCGGGAGTTGGGTATCTTTGAGAGGGAAACCCCATCTCCATCTCCTGGTACTGAGGGAGGTGTGTCTCCTTCTCTTAACTCCACTTGGGTCCCGACCCTGTGTGACCTGTGGACTTGCCCCTACTGCTGACTTTGCTGTTTCTGGGACAGACCGTGTCCTCCCCACCCTTGCCCACACCTTACGGTCAGACGCAACGCTTCCTGTGGACAAAGATGACAGAGACACCGAGCACCAGCAGCACTTTGTGGCCTAGGAGCAGAACTACCAGCAGAGGGGAAGTCAGCTCTGGGCCTGGAAATCCAGAGACAGAAGGTCTGATGAGAGGGGCCGCCACAGGAGCCATTCCCTGGGGCCCCTACTTACTCCAGCTAAGGCCACCTGGGCCCATCAACACTCTGAGGTTTAACCTGCCTCCTCTGTCTTCCGCGTAATCTCGAGGCAGAAATCAGTATATAGAGTCCCTCATTCTCACCCACTCCCTCTTCAGGCTGTAAAGCTCCTCATACTTGAAGGGAAAATGTCAGAAGTGAAAAAAACTGAGACAAGGGAAAAATCAAATGCTAGTGCACAAGCCTTCACTAGGCAGCCGTCCCCTGCTCATCCAGCCGCCAGGAAAGGACAAAACAGACAGGGGCAGCTACGAAAGGACCCTGAAAGTCCCACCACCAATATTAAATCCAACCTAAATTTGATGATATTGGTAAAAGTCTCCTGTAGAGCAGAGCACAGCTCATAGGAAGTGGTTTCAAAGCCTGCCTGATTCAAGAGTTGACACAGAATCCCCAGAGTCTGTGTGAAGTTTACGTTATAGGTCAAAAGGTATGCGCACTAGTGATAAATAATCCTGAGATGAGCACATGATTCGGGATTTCCCAGAGGAGCTCATCTAATCATAAAGATTCTTGTAAGCGAAAGATGGAGGCAGGAGAGTCAGAGCAGGAGATGTGATGTCAGAAGCTGGGGCCGGAGTGATGTGGGTCCCTTTGCTCAGGGGGGTGGGCATCTCTGGGACCTGGAAAAGGCAAGGAAATGGGTATTCTTCAGGAGCCCTCAGAAGGAGGACCGCCCTGCCACCCATAGTAGGCTTCAGGCCTCTACAAATGTGTGACGACAAATTTCTCTTGTGTTAAATCAGTCAATGTGGTAAGTTCTCAGTGGCAGTAAGAAGCTAATTCAAGGAGGACAGATGGGACTGAGCAGACGGGCGTGATTTAAGGTGCTTGCTTTCTGTAGGGAAAAGGCAGAGAGAAAGAAGTGATGTTTGGCAATTGAGTAGGGAAGGGAAAAAGAAAAAAGGAGGGGGGAAGGGATTTAGGTTCCTGAAAAGCAGAAAAGGACCAAACACTTAGAGGATTCAGAACGTTTCTCCTACTATTAAAACCAAGCAACCAACCAAAAATTCCATTAACATACTGGGTTGTTGTGTTAAGAGAGAAGTCCTTTAAGCTAGATACATTGTGAAGACACTCGAATACCATAAAAACAAACAGTAAGACTGGCATTTTCACAGCAGACCCACTGGACTCAGGACCGTGGCGGGCAGAGCCCTCAGATGGCCCAGGGAAAGCTGTGCGTCCTGGGCAGCAGTGTCACATAGGCATCTGACACTTCCCTTTAGCCTGTTAACACGGTTGACCTGAAAGCCACTTCCAGCCTCACGACGCTAGCAGGCAGGCTGGGTCAGGAACACTGCAGCACGCAGGAGTAACAGCCCTGGTGGAGCCCCAGCAGGAGATGGAAGATTTAAAAGCAAATCCAGGACCCTCCGGACAAGATGGTGTGGACTCATCTCTCCTGCTCTCCCTGTTCAGGACAAGTTGAACCCTAGAAATGACACAAGGGGCCAACATGGGCAGAGTCTAGGGTGGAAGAGGCAGCACACTGGCTAGAGGCCCAAGCACAGGAGGAAGAACACCGTGGCCAGGCACCCAGGTCCCTCTCCTAAGTCGCCAGGCACAGGAGAAGACCCAGGCCTGATACTAGAAAAAAGACAAACTCTAAATCAAGAATCTAAATCCCTGCACAAAAATGAGCTAGGAAGAGCAAAATAAAGCCAAAGGAAGCACAGAGAAGGAAATAATAAAGAAAAAAATGAATGAAATTGGAAGCAGAAAAATAATAGACCATCACTGAAACAAGGATTAATTTCTTTTAAAAGACCATTAAAATGGAAAGACTTCTAATACCAATGACAAGAAAAAAGAGTAATGACACCTTTCCAACACCAGGAATGAAACAGGACATCACTGCGGACGCCACAGACACCAGAAGGGTAGTAAGGAAATACTGTGAACAGCGGTAGAGAGAGAAATTTGACAACTTAGAGACAATGGAGCAAATACCTCAAAAAGGACAGCCTACTGCAGTTCACACAATAAGAAATAAATAATCTGAATAGTCCTAGACAATTCAAATTCATTGAAAAAAAAAAAAGATTGTTGAGGCCCAGATGGTGTCACAGGAGAACTCTACCAAGCATTTACAGATGAGTTAAAAACAACTGTGGTGCACAAAAAGCAATGATACAAGAAATTTTGGAAAATTTGAATTTCTACTCCGGTTTAGATGATATTGGGGAATTATGGTTGATTTTTCTGTGAGTCACGGCATAGGTTCTGTGCAAAGTCAATGTTCTCAATCATCTGACTACACACCTGTGGACTCCATAGGCACCTGGATGTGCACACAAGACTCAGTTATGAGTGGACACAACTATGCAAATTCTCTGCATCTATTGTTAGATGGAAGGTGTTTGTCTTTTCCTTCTTAAACTTTATTCTTCCAGCAGGCAGGGACACGGACTCTTGTTGACCGAGCATTGACCTAGCTAATGAGGACAACGCCATAGGGCATGTTGGAAGGAACATGGGCTGTTGCAAGGTCATCTGGAGTAAATCTCCTGGAAATCTGATGGACTACCTCATGATGTGACATGAGAGAGAAATAAGACACATATTGTGCATAGAAAGGGGAACTCCGTATGTCCTCGGGACAATGTCCAGCTAAAGGGGAACGTGCCTCTACTTAGCACGTATCTGTTGTACATGCTGGTGGTTCCTGTCGTCAGGGACTCAGTTTGCGCTCATCAGTCTAGCCCAATTACCTGGCAAGACATCTTCAACAGCATCCTACCAGTGCTATCTGAGTCCCTTTGGTAAACTGCAAATCCAGCGGGTGGCTAGAACAGGAAAGGGGATCATAACTGAAGCGAGATTTGCATTTAGTACATGTGCACTCAACACTGGTGATCGTTGCTGGTCCACTGTCACAGGTCAGGGGATAAAGGAAGCCCATGCGGTGACCACTCACGGCCACCTGGGTGCCTGGACCAGACTGAAACTCTGCATCCTCAGGGCTCCCTGTCCAGAATTTCATAGGGCTTTCTTTGTCCCCTGATTTGTGACAGTGGACCAGCAATGACCACAGTCGCTCAGTGCATGTTGACTACCTGCAAATCCCAGTTCAACTGTGACCTCTTCCAGGAGGAGCAGGCTGGGGCCAGGAAGGCGGATGGATGTGGGCTAGGGCTGGGGGTGAGGGGCATCTACCCTGATCGTCTCAGACAAGTTGTGGCTGAGACATCGCTTGGGGTGATGTTACTGATGGATGGGAACATCTAGGATGGAAGGGAGACTAGGCAGAGGTTAGAAAGAAGGAAGAGGGAGGCGAGTGGACAGGGAAGGATGAACAGAGTTACTGTTTCTTGAAGAGAGGAAGAGACAGGACATTATGGACACAATCATCTCCCTTCTTCCTTTCTTTCTTTCAAGTATATTGATGTCAAATGATGTAAAAAAAAAAAAAGTACCAAACTCTTCCCAGTAGTGACTCTTGGAGTATAGGATTTGAGTGGGGGAAGTCACCTCAAAATTCTACTGTACATTTATAGACTTCTAGACTATTCTATACCGAGGAAGAATGACTACTTTAACAACTTAAAAAGATAAAATTTTAAAAGCCCTTTCAGGTTAATGGAAGCTCACCAGGGAGTTCATGTGTGCCCTGGTCCTTCTGGGGAGCAGAGGCCTCCAGGGTGAGGTAGGCGCTGACCGCTGGCTGCCCATCGTGCTCCACCCTGCAGGCCAGCACCTCCCCCCTGTGGGCGGACGAGTTCACCAGGAGCCAGCTTGTCCGGTTAAAGGTCCCGTCCTTGTTCTTCCTGAGGGTCGACGCCATTTCTATCCGGGACACGTTTCCATTCTCCACCCAGCTCAGCTGGAGGTCTCGGGGGTAGAACTGCTTCGCCTGGCAGGTGACGTTCACCTGGGTCCCTGCCGTGGGCTGTTGGGTGACCTCCACGGTGGGCGGAACTGAAACAGCACAGGGCAGGAGCTCTGACCTTGTGGAACAGAGAGGTCACAGGGCAGGGGCTGGAGAGCAGCTCCCAGCCCTGCAAGGAGGTCCCTGAGGACAGAGCCAGGCATGCAGCAGGTGCTCAAAAACTCAGCGTGCAATTTGCATATCAGTGAGATCCTAAGCACCTTGCAGGGCACACAGCAGGTGCTCAAGGACTGGTTGGTCCTGTTAGGGTTATAATGTGGGGAATCAGTAAGCAACTGGCATGCAGTTGGAATATAATAACTGCAGCCAAGTAAGTGAAATCCCTAGGCACTTAGGGGCTTGGCTTAGAGTAGGTGCTCAGTAGTTGGAGATGCTGTTGTAAGTAAAGGAAACTGCTGAGCACAGTGCTTGGCACGTGGCAGGTGTCACCTGGCAGCTGCCATTAAATCAGTAGTGAGTGACCAGCACATGGAGGTGCGTGGTGGTCGGGAAGGACTGTCAGGAAATCTACTCTAGGCAAGTCAAGGCGTGGAGCCAAAAGCAGGGGGAGGGGCAGGTGGGGCTTGGGGACAGGTGTGGGCTCAGGCTGGTGTGAGGGGCATCTACCTCGGATGACCTGAGACAAGTAGGCAGTCCCACGGAGAGGAGGGCCCCCCTGCAGGGTGATGTGGGCCACCTCGCAGGTGACCTGGGAGCGAGCATCCCCTGGGGCCAGCACCACCTTGGCTGTGCTGGAGACGCTGTAGGAAACGCTGTCTCCCTCCGGGTCCACGCTGGTCTGGGAGGCTGTGATCTCCTTCCCGTTTTTGAACCATTTCAGGGAGATGGTTCTGGGGGAGAAGCCATGGGATCTGCAGGTGAAGCTCACCGTCTGCTCAGGTGAGGCCCTCGTGGCGGGGCCTGATACCACGGGAGGAGAGGGTTTGGCTACAAAACACCATTTTATAAACAATGAATATGATTGTCCTTATCATCATTAACGAAAAGCTTGCGACACAGTTAACAACGCTTACATATTTGTTTTAGATTTTTTTCAATTTTACTTCAGTTCAGTTTTGTTGCTGGATGAGATAATTAGGCTTATTTAAGTTTTTTTTTTCCTAATGGAGGGACTGAGGATTAAACCCAGGACCTCATGTATGTTAATAAGCATGCACTCTACCACTGAGCTATACCCTCCCACCTAAGATCATTTACCATTATTTTTTAACCCTTCTATTAGGCCTCAGAGGGCAGTGTCTTTATCCTCATCTTAGGAGGAGACACACTGGTTCCCAGAGGTGAGCTCTGAGTCTGGGGTGGGACCAACATGGTTTCCAGGCCTGAGTTCAAAGTCCACTTTCTTTCCTCCCTCAGGTGAATTCCCACTGATCTGGGTGCAGGAACCAAAAAAACTGATGGCTGTCACTCTCCTATTAACTCTTCCTAGCTGGGCTCCCCTGGGGAACTTAGCTACAGTAAGGAAAGCATTTACAGAAGTAAGTGCAGGGGAAGCTGGGGTGGAGCAGGACCACCATGGATGCTGAATCAGCCTGGGCAGCAGATGAGACCTGTGGCCGGGGCCCCTCCCAGCTCTTCATCTGTGAAAGGGGACTGCAGGCCTTATCCTTCCCAGGGTTGCAGTGAGGGTTCAGTCTGGCACTGGAAGCATCCTTGCTTTGAGTAAAATGCTTTGACAAAACTAAACACAGATCTCTCTGTAACCCAGACTGTGTTTACATCCAGAGCTCTCCCTTCAAATATGTGTGATATTTTACTAGATAGATTTCATTCTCTCCACAAATATTCCTGTAGGACTTTACGTGCCAATTGCTGAATTTCAAAGGAAGAAGGGTGAAGGGATGTTTTTCTAAATCTGGGTTCTTCTCTTGGGTCACTTTTGAGTTGAAAGCAAAGGTCACTGAGAGCTAAGAAAGCAGAGGTGGTTAATTTCTTAAGTGTTATTAAATCAGAAGAGACAAAGACACAGGCCCATGAAGCAGGCAGAAGCAGCTCCTGTGTCCTGAAAACACACAAATTAGCGAATGAAAAGACAAGGTTTCTCCCTGTAGAAGGTCATAGGGTTTCTCCAAATTATTCAGTATTACTCAACACCTCCTGTAAACGTTGGCAGACAGTAGACATTACAAATATTTGCACTTGTAAATATTTAACTTGCTTCCTAAAATTCATGAAATATTTGGGGACAGCATAAGGAGATGTAAGTTGAATATGTCAAGTTATAGAAATACCAGCATCCTGGATGCCCCAAAGGGAAGAGAAGCTGTGATTGGTTACCACTGACGGAGAGTGTTTTCACAGCCTAACGATGGGCTGATCCCTCCAGGATCCTAAGTTCTTCATTTCTCCTCACAAGCCATGAAATGAGGGCCCGAATGGGGTCACATTTATGGGATGAGGCTCATGGTGGACTCAGCTGGCCAAGGGCACCCAGCAAAGAATGGTCAGAGCTCATCCCACCGCACCAAGGCTGATTGATTTAGTGTCTCTGATTACCTCTGAGCCTCAGTCTCTGTTTCCCTGCAATGTGTGTGACAGCCCCACCCTGGTCAGACAAGGGGGGATGTACTTAAAACACAGAGCCTGGTGCACGGTGGGTGCTTAAGCACCAAGACCTGTGACTGTTGTCATAAGGTCTGGTCGTTCCTAGTTCTGAAACTGCCTGTTTATTCTTCAGGCAGTGAGAAGGCAGAACACAAGAACAGCAGGAAAAAACAAACAAACGAAAAGTCTCAAATCGTGCTCCCTGCATCTGGCATCAAAAACCCTAATGAAAAAGAAGCCATAGAACCACCACAGTATGATTCTCTTCCTCTTTTTTATAATCCCTTCAGGAAACAAATTGGGGGAATTGGCTTTCAAAATATATGATGTCGCAGGAATTCCCCCACAGACCAGCTCTTCACAGAAAGCTGGAAGCATTTTGAAAGGAGGGAGGAGATTCCATCAGTGTCATGATGGTGTGTTGAGGAAGGCGGGCTCTGGGCTGAGCAGGGAGTGTTTGAGGGGATTCCAGCCCCTCTTTACAGATGGGAAGGTTTCCCCAGCGACAAAGCTCAGGGCTGAGCAGAGTCTTCTGAGTCCATAGGAGGCCCCTCTCCACCCCAGGTGAGCTCCATGGGAGGAGGTGTCCCTCCGCCTCTGTTGAAGCTTCCTTTCTTGGCCTCTGAAGAACTGTAACCGTCATAGGCTATTCTGCAACGTCCCTGAAAAGCTGTTCTCGCAGCTCCAGCACCAAGGAGGAGTGACCTCTGTGTGGGCAAAACCCCAGCTCCATCTGTGACCTCAGAGAACACGGAGCTCAGGGCTTCTCCGCCAGGGCTGTGGGCAGCATCCCCTGCAGGAGTTAATCAGTCAGCTGCCCGGGCCCACGTGTCTCCAATTAAACCAGGGTTTCTCGGGTGGGGACAGGGGCTGGGGATCGTGTCAGCGTTACCTAGGTGATTCTGATAGGCAGCCAAGGTGGAAAGCACCTGGCTCCACCCCAACCCCAGTTATACTCAATCCTGCAGGGAGTGAGCCGCCCGAGGCCTCCAGCTTTGGCACGTCAGAGCTAACAGTGGCGGAACACGTACACTGTTGCGGGCTCTGCTCTAAGCTCTGTACATTGTTCCCTCATTCAGTCCCTGCAGTGGCTCTGGGAGGGCGG